GCTTAAGGTGAGTCATAAGCCTGCAAAGATACTTCCTTCATACAAGTCGTTTTAAGGGGGGTTGAGTACTTGGGGGTTTTGCTTCTCCGATAGGGGTGATAGTATTGAGCGGGGGTTAGGTATTAGTACAAAGTAAATTAGGCAGAACGCTGTAAATGGCCGTTAAAACTGTGGCCAAAAAAGGGGTGAGTAGGAGGGTCAAGTGTTTAAATAGGAAGTGGTTATTGCTTCAATAATAGCATCTTTAAGAAGAGCCGGAGAGGAAAGGCATACCGGTTAGGGCGAGAGTGCCAATATAAAGCAGGAAGAGGTTCAGGGGTGTTTGGCGGTGGAGGGGCCCCCATTTTCCGGATATCTTGTTTCACCACCAAGGCTGTGAATAATTGATCCGGCAGCAGAGGTCATTGACTAGGTCCCCCCGTGTGGTTCTGGGATTTTTGCTCACCGTTCTTGTGATCATTTTGACCCCACGGGGTGAGATCTTGCGTGGAGCCCCAGATCGAGGGAGATTATCAGTGGTCTTTTATGTCTTCCATTTTCTAATAATTGCTCCCACAGTTGATTTCTTCACACCAAGCTGCTTACCTATTGCAGATTCAGTCTTCCCAGCCTGGTGCAGGTCTACAATTTTGTTTCTGGTGTCCTTTGACAGCTCTTTGGTCTTGGCCATAGTGGAGTTTGGAGTGTGACTGTTTGAGTTTGTGGACAGGTGTCTTTTATACTGATAACGAGTTCAAACAGGCGCCATTAATACAGTTAACAAGTGGAGGACAGAGGAGGCTCTTAAAGAAGAAGTTACAGGTCTGTGAGAGCCAGAAATCTTGTTTGTTTGTAGGTGACCAAATACTTATTTTACTGAGGAATTTACCAATTAATTCATTAAAAATCCTACAATGTGATTTCCTGGATTCTTTCCCCCCATTCTGTCTCTCATAGTTGAAGTGTACCTAGGATGAAAATTACAGGCCTCTCTCATCTTTTTAAGTGGGAGAACTTGCACAATTGGTGGCTGACAAAATACTTTTTTGCCCCACTGTATATACAAATGTATTTATGATTGGTTAACGTTATTGCTCCTTCAAACCTTTTATATATTCACTATTCAGTTATTTTTACCATGTTGTACTTATGGCTTGATTGTTTACATTTTGTATGATGTGTTTAATTCAAAAGTTAGCTCTTTTTGCCTGCACTGTATCTTTGTGTCTGTTACGCCATAAATGTCTGCTACAAGGAATAAAAGATTTCTGATTTTATTTGTATGGTGTTGATTTTGACCAAGTCAAATGTTACGTCTGTTTGTGGTATCCACCTACTAAATAAATGTCTCTTAAGCTGTACTAGCAAGATAGTCCTCTTTTTGTTTTTTGGTGCTGGGCACGGAAGTCTAGTCACTGGTAACAATGTGGCTGGAATGGGTTTGATAAGAAATGCTGAGAATTTAAACCGTAAATCGTTAGCTTGTTAAACAAAAGGGATAGTGATCATTCTCTACAGGTTAAGTGACCCCAATCACATCAAACATAGTCATTTGACACCTTGTTTAAATAAAAACAGGAGAAGCATTGAACAAGCACTAAATGGACACACCCTTTACATTCGGATGAGTGTATTAATTTTTGTATACAATTATTATTTCATGGAACTCTTCCATAGAGGATATGACAAACACACAGTGTGTGTGGACGAGAGTGCATATCAGCCAATGGAAAATCCACACAGGTACATTGTGGCATCTTTTAATTTCTTCTTCACCAATTAAAGCTTCAGTGGGACAAATGCTATAAATAGGCCTTTCCATAAACAGTTCTAGTTGTAAATGTATAACTAGCCAGCAAACAAAAAAACTAAATAAAAAAAGAATTTATATCTTTGTCCCAGGATTAAATATCTTGCCATGTTAATTTCATATTGACATTTTGTTTGATGTGGCTGAAATTCACTACCCAGCACCAGCCGTTACCTTCAACCAACTTGAACCAGATGGGCCTTACTCCAATCAATGCTGGCTCGTCTTAAGTGTGATCACTAAAGGCAGACAGACAAACGCACAGAAAGCCACATACACAGAAAGGATGGCCATGCATTGGTCGATCGGCCCCTGGGCCGGTCTGGAAAGGCGTCACATTTTAGAAGCATGTCGTTCCAGCCTGATGAGCAATCTACCTCATCAAAATACCTTTATTCCAATCAATACGGCTTTCAGCAAGGGAGCGCTGAACCGCCTATCCACAGTCACCACCGCACACCGTTCTGCGTTAGACTGCGTTTCTGTGTGTGCGTTCAACAGAGGATCTGTTGGTGTGTGTACATTGTGCATGTCAAATATAAGGTTTTCATTCAAGGTTTGAAAACAAGAGGAGGGAATGTTGTTATTTTTTTCAGTGCTGAGGTCGGTATGCATTTTGCATGTGTGACTTGAAGTTCAAGTATGCATGGGTTTGAATGTTATGGATTTCGGTTATTTTTATCGAATTGGAGGTCTTTGGGTGAATAAAGAGTTATTCAGTGTTATGTCTATTTGTAACTGATGGAAAAACATACATTCCAGAATTCTGCTATTTCAACCCAGTCTCAGGGCATTTCGTTTTATAGTCATGAAATTAATTGAATCTATTGATTCGTGTTCACCAACACGATTTTCGCATTTTTTCCGTGCCACACAGAACGATTTTAAAAGCAATGTATTTCTATTGGTAGTATGTTTCGTGCCTGCACCACGTATTTTTGTCCGGTCGGGTCTTGGAATACGAGAAGCTGTGTCGTTCATAAAAACATTTTCTTACTCAATATCTTACCCTAAGCCTAACCCTATCCCTTTTATTTTAAATTGTATAATGTCGAAGTTTTTCTCCTGTCCGCGAGGAAAATAAATGGGCCTCAGAATACTGAAATCTGTATTTTTTGTCATCTTTTTTCCTTCTAATTTGTTATTATTTACATTGCTTTTAAAATCGTTCTGTGTGACACAAAGAAAATGGCGAAATCGTGTTGTTGAACACGAATCAATAGATTCATTTTGTGACTATAGCACGAAATGCCGTGAGTCTATGTTGGCTATTTATGGTAGTCAAGCTCTAGCCCTGGCTTGCCTTTATTCGGTTTACCTTTAGATGTACTACAGTTTTGAACTTCCATGAATTATTAAGCATTAAGTATTGGCAGGGCCGGCCCTGACCAATTTGCTGCCCTTGGCAAGATTTTAGCTGGCGCCCCCCCCCCCCAAATGCAGACACTCACTATGACTCGCGCATGCATGCACGGTTGTGGCATGACCACCAAAACAGAAAGATATGGACACACGATGTGTGCAAATGTATTTAGTATCCTATCCATTTAATGCAGGATTTGATATGTTTTACAAAACATAAGGGCAGGAATTCAGAGGAAAAGGAGCCGTTTTGAGCTCTGCTACTAAAAACTGCTTTTTTTTAAAGTCACGCGTCATATTACGTCACATGGGGGAGTTAACTTTCTCGGACTCGTTCTCTGCCCAATCCGCGGTAGTAGTTTGTAGTTGGTTTGAGCGGTTGCGATTTAGTGAGCTGGTATTTTTTCGGTAATTTTACATTGCATTTCACCATTTGTAATCATGGTGAGCTTGTGTTTTTGCAGGTTGCACAAACTCAAGCCTGTCAGGGCATCGAGTCCACAGTTTCCCTCACGGGAAAAGGACCGGAGCTAGCGTTCGTTCCTGGGTACGTTGTGCATCCACCTCCCTGCAGCACATACTCCGTCTCCACAGCTTTATCAAGAAACCGTATTGCATCTCTCTCCCCCCCTTCGCTGCTCTCTCTCTCTCTCCCCTCCGGTACACGGCACCGTAAGACGTAGTGTGGAGTTGCATTAGGTAACGCTGTGGTGGCTGTACTGCTCCAGCCGTCTCCTTTGTGTTTGTTTGTTTCCCCCTGTCTGTGTTGTTTGTGTGTGC